TTTATAATAATTTCATACTAATGCATTCTATTATGAATTCAAAAATAATTTATTTTAGGCCTTGTCAAACAACCATCAACAATTTCTCCATTGGATAGTAGTAGCCCGGGTGAATTTATTGGTAACAAAGAAAATCGAACAAGTATATTCTTTTATCTCCTTCGGCTAAATTTCATAATTATAATTTTTTTTTTTCAGCTGTAATAAAACATGATCAACAACAACAAACATCACCTAATGATTCTCGACTATCATCTGCTCATAAAGAAAAGTAAATATAATCAAATTCTATATTTCTATATTATTTTTCATTTTAGATCAAATATTCCTCCACCACAAGTCATACACAGTGATCAATTTAAAGTTCCATTTTTTCATTTATATGAAACAATCTATAAATTTCGTCATTCAATTATAAATTTACTTGAACAAAATAAATTTCTTTCACTTGCTGATCGTCTTGATATGATTAAACAATTATCAACATCTGATAATAATATAACAAATGATTTTGTTGATAATTCTGAACGTGTACTTAAAGATACAGTTAAAGTTTTACAAACATGTATGACAACATTAATATCAACAAAAAATGAAAATGAAAATGAAAATAAAAAAAAAGAATCATCATCTGAACAATCTACAGCAACAACTATGCAAACATCAACAATTAGTCATGATCAATTATCAATTATTCAACAAAAAGAATCTATTATCGAGGATTTAAGTAATAGACATAAACAAATATCACAAGAACTTGATGAAAATAATAAAAAACATAGTGAAGAAATAGTGTAGGGGAAAAACGTTTTCTTTTTCTTCTCCTTTAAAGTCACATTATTTTTTTTTTTGTTATCTTATAGACAAAATGAACGTATGATTACTGATCAACAAAAATTAATTCAAAATCTTCAACGTGAATTAATGCGCCTTCAAAAACGTTTATCAAAAGTTGAAACTGAAGGCATTGTACAACCAAGTATTATGTTTACTCGTCTTGATGCCGAACGTAATGAAAACGTACTTAAACAAGCTGTTGATAAAGGAAAACTATCCGAAACTACAATGAGTGTAAGTTTAATGATTTTATAACAATTACTAATGAGGAAACGTCTCCAAGTGTGACTCAATAATCGAACTTATATTTTGCCTATAAGTAGCTACCGACAAGACTAGTAGAAACCAATTTAGATATTTAATAGTTCAAGTAAAACATATCTTCTTAGGCTGAAATTTTCTAGGCATTCTCTAAGGTTTATGAGATCTACTTATGAACGAAACTTCAGATTGAAATATCGTACTTCAATTTGTTTCACTAGTACCTTGCTAGAGATTAAAAAAATTCAGTAAAATTATATAATAGTTTGGAACGGATAGCGTATGGAGACGAACTTTTATAAGTGTCTACTAGTCTCATCATGGTCTACTTATACGCAAAATATTAGTTCTATTGACGATCCCACTTATACCTCTTCTCTCGTAAGTAAATATCATGCCATATATATATATATATGTGAAGTAATTTTACATAATTTCTAATCACAAGATATAATTATACTTGTTCGATCAATCAATCAGAAATCTTAGATATCTTTGTTTTATGAAATTCTATTGTTAATCAATGTTAAATTTTATATTAAAAAAGTAGAGATCAGTTTGACAGACATTTCTATTATTACGAAAGATGATGCAAAGAGTGCAGAATTACATATTTCATGATAGAACATGTGAAGTGTTTGGATAAAGAGTGTACTACCTGTTATTTATTTCATCTTTACAAGTCTTCGAATACATTTGACATAAAATTATTTCATTGCGGAGTGTATATTAGCCGTTCGTATGGTTTCCACTTTAATAATTTATAAAATATTTTCTTGTGACCTAGGAAATAAGTGAAGCAATGGAAGATTATGTTCGTTTACCGACTCAACAATTTAGTAATGTTGTTAAACGATATATTCAACATCGAAAAGCAACTGAACTTGAAGGTAAATAAAATAAAAGCACATTTTTTTTATTTCGTTTTTTTTTTTTTTTTTTTTTTTTGTTTTCTTTAAGATCGTATTCAAAGTGAAACATTTGATAATGAAACAAAAAGTGTTATGGAAAGAATGGGATCATTTTATGAACGAGTTAGTTTAACCAATAAATATATTTCTATGAAATTTATTTCGTTATTTTTTTTTTAATAAATTAATTTAGCGTTCAGGAAAAATAAGTGAACGTATATCAAGTATTCGTCAACATCGTACAACATTAGCACGAACATTAACAGAAAAATTTGATAATCTGGAACATGAAAGTAGTATATTTTTAATTCGTCCAGTTTATTCTTATCAAGGACGGTATGTAATCATTGATTTCATTAATAAAATACTTTTTTTTTCGTTTTTTATTTTTTGAAATATTTTCAATTAAAAGAACTGCTGTTCAATCTTATATGGAAAATGAAAAACGACGACAAGAATCATTATTAAAAGGACAGGATAAAAAGAAAAAATCACATCGTAGTCGATTATCAGAATCTACAAGTGATCAACATACTGATAGTAATAGTCGAGAAATGGTTACAGCATTATCAACAACAAGTACATCCGATGAAGATGAAAGATTATTTAATGTAAAATAAATTTTATTTTTTTAATTATTTTTGTTTTTTTATAAATAAATTTTAGATTGATAAAACTTTTACTGCACTAAGACCAACACCAGCTAGTCAACAATCATCTCAACATGCTGAATCAATTAGTGGAAATCTTAATACAGATAATAAACCAAAACCAACACAATTAAGTGAAATATCACGTTTACAAGAATTTGATATTCAACGTACATTAATGCCAATGTCTCATGCTAGTGTACCATTATCATCAGTTAATTCAAATAATGGAACTGATCCATCTGTACCATCAGTTAATTTACGTTCTTATGTAACATTATCACGACCCGGTATTGGTACAAATATTCGAAATGAAAAAACAAATGATACTATTCATCCAGTTTCGAGAACTGATTTATCTACTTTATCAGGTAATTAAAAAATTTTGATTCTTTTTTTTTTTTGTTTTGTTTTTTGATAAAATTAATTTTATAAAATAGTAACAAGTCCTCGAACACCATTTAATTCAACTGTTGGTGATTTAAGACGAGTAAGTCCACCTTTACCACCAATAAAACGATCATTGACAACAAGTGGATCACCAACAATTGATGAAAGTAAGAATAAAAAAAACAAAAACAAGAACTTTATTCGAAAATTTTTTCTATGAAAAATTTTTTAGAACAAGCTGATGAATTTATTCCATCGGTTAGTAGTAATGAATTTGCTCCAACTGATCATACAACAACAGACGATAAAACTGAAGAGAAATAATGTAAATCTTAATCACATTTATTTTTAAATAAAATATTTAATTATATCACAAATATTTTTTTATTGTTCTATTTAAACTTCTTATTAAACAAGAATTATTCAAAAACTTTTCTTTTAATATCTTGAAATTATATATATTTTTTTTTTGCATATGATAAATTCATAATATAATCTATCATTTTAAATAAATTATTTAAAAAATATTAACGCTTAACTATTTGACAACGCATATTTCATGTCAATTTCA